CCACACATACACCTCCTTTGCCCCCTCCTCTGGACTCCTGACTCTTTCTGCAGCCTAACTACTGCAACTCCTTGGCTCTTTCTTACTGCTGTCTTTCATCCACACCTCTGATCTTTTGGTAGGAAAGATCTACACTTAGCCTACTCGGACAAGGGCCAACAATTTCGGAAGGCCCGAGTGCAAGTTGCACAAGTCAAAGATCCCTTGATGATCCAAAATCGATAAAAGAAGACTTCGGCGCCACCCGGGCGAAATTCAAAATTTGCTACAAACTGAAAATGTTTAATGTGTCCCGCGCCCTTATATGACTTTATACCGTTGCGAGCGCAGTAAAACACTTACAAAAAAAGTTAATTAAAAAAATAAATAAAAAAGAGAAAAAAGAAAAGAAAAAGGACCTTCCTGGGGTGCCCTCTAATCGCCCAAAAAGTAGGTCACCTGCCGTAAACATTGTTTATGGAAAGAGCTCTGAGAAAATACTTATCTTACCAGAGACTTTAGGAAACACATTAAGAGAAAACAGAACAAAAAAATAAAAACAATTCATTAATTTCTATTTGTACACTAAGCTAAGTCTTAATTCATACTTATGAACAATATTACCAATGTTGACAACACTGTACGCTAAGTCTTAATTCATACTTTTTGAGGACAAATGTAATAATTTTACTTATAGCATCTGTAGTCTTGCTCAACAGCAATATCTATGCTCTTTAATCGATTTTTTTTACCCAAGCAGACCTGACAGCATTCTGAATTGAAAAAAGAAATAATTTCCTGGGAAGCACGCAACGCAAGCTGCCATTTTAATGGCGCTTTAACAATAACATCATCATCATAAGTGCCTTTCTCACCCTTGGTCAAGGTATAGGCCACCGACAAATACTTTCGACGTTTCCCTATCCTGGGCTATATCTAGTCTTTTGATGTTATTCCGTTTTCCCATTTTCCTGTACATCCATTTCTGTGACCTTTCTCCAGGTTCTCCGTGGTCTTCCCCGTAATCTTTTAACATACTGACAATATTACATTTCATTCTCTATGACAAGGTACCCAATCACATCTGCATAAAATGAGGAAAATTCCTTTAAAGTATCTTTTCCAATGACATAATAATTGGTCGAGCTACACCTCGAACGCCCAATTCCCCCCTAGGGTTACAGGCCCCATTGTCTAACCACTATGATGAAGGAGAAGAAGAACCCCCCTCCCCTCCCCGAAAGAATATAAACAGGTAAGTAAATCTAATAAAATATGGAGAAAAAAAGAAAGAAATGTATATGAAAAAGGAAAAAGAAAGAAAAAAAAGAAATAAAAATAACTTAAGCAGAAACATGTCACAGAGTGAAACACTTACCCCTGTAGCGTCTCTAACGTGTATAGAAAGTCCACGGTACCCAGCTTAATTCTGGATGGCTGGTTGGCGGATGCTCAGGCGTGGTTTATCCTGGTTTCCTTTCTTATATATCTAATGTCCTTAGGCCTAGGCCATTTCTTTGTTACGTCACTCTGTAGTAGTGCCACGAATCTTCGGCACTTAGGCCTATGTAACCTATTTGTGTTGGAAGTGCTGTCTTGTATAATACTTATTACAATACGTTGTTTTTTTTAGAAACTTCTTATGGCGTCTACATAGAAAGGATCAACAACAACCAAAAAAAAAAAAAAAAAAAAAAAAAAAAAAAAGGTCGAGCAGAAAAAATCTTCAAAAAGCTGAAACAGCACTTTGCACGTAGTATTCTTCTAGAGGAACGTGTGGGTGGGGGTGAGGAACAGATAGAGGGACAGAGAGAGGGAGAGGGGGAGGGAGAAAGAGAGAGAGAGAGAGAGAGAGAGAGAGAGAGAGAGAGAGAGAGAGAGAGACAGAGACAGAGACAGAGAGACAGAGAGACAGACAGACAGACAGACAGACAGACAGACAGACAGACAGACAGACAGAGACAGAGAGAGAATGGTGAGCGAAGGGAGGTGGTTTGGGGGAGGGGGGGGGGTGAAGACGGAGTGAGGGGAGAGAAAGAAAAGGGTTTGTGTGAAGGAACTGACCTACTTGTTGGGTGCATGGGAAAGTCTGAGAAACAGGATGCATGGGTAACCTTGACCCCAGCGCGAGGTTTAGTGACATGCTATGGGTCGTGATGCCAGAAGAAACGCACATAGGGTTTGTTACGAATTAGGAAGTAGTGCCACTCTACGCAGATCTTTTTTTCTTCCAAGAATAGGCAACCGGTTACAATGCTTAGAAGATGGTGGAAAAATAATCTAAGATACCACATTTCTTCTGGGGTTGTTTTTTTATTTATTCTTTCGCAAAATAGAGCAAACGTCTAAACTCCTCTGGGTTGAAGAGGTGAAGAGAAAAGTGTTGTTAAGAAAACAACATGGCCATGGGATTTTTTCGTTTCTTCTTTTATATATTCAACTTTAGGCTTGCATGATCTTATATAGGATAACAAACCGCTTTTAATTGGAATAACATGATGTTTGTATGAACAACTTTCTGCGGCTGTACGTTTTCTGTTGAAGTAAGTGTTTTTTGTTTTTGTTTTTTGTTTCTTTTTGTTCGGTTTTAAATTTTGTTGTTGTTGTTGTTGTGGTTGTTGGTTTGTAGGTGTTTTACGGCGCCCGCAACTGCATAAGGTCATAATAAGCGCGCGGGATACATTTTCAGTTGGTAGGAAATTTCGAATTTTATCCGGATGGCAGCCGAAGCCTACTCTTATCGATTTTGGACAACAAAGGGATAATTAACGTGGGCAACTTGCATGCAGGACCTCCGAGATTTTTCGCTCTTCTCAGAAGGCTAGGTGCAGATCTTTCCTACCATAAGACCAGGTTGTGGCTGAAAAACAGCAGTAAGAAGGAGCCAAGGAGCAGCAGTACATGAAAGGCTGCAGAAAGAGTCAGGAGCCCAGAGGAGGGGACAAAGAAGGTGAGGGGGTGGGGGCAGAACGTGGAGACGAAAGCATACGACAGAATATTGTAAGAAAGCAAAAGAAAAGAAAAAAAGTAGATATGAGGAGAAATAGAAGAACGGAGCTATCCGGATTCGAACCCGGGACCTTAGACTTAGAACGAGAGACGAACACCTTAACCCTATCCGTACGTCGTGTTTTACTATCGTATCCATACGACGTG